TGCCCACCGCCATTATCGGGTAGCTGGGTTTGCCGCAGCGGCCTCCGTGGGGGTCCCGTGGGGTGGCCGCTTCTCCTCAGGGCTTCCTGGGCCTAATCCATGTGCCGAGGAGCAGCAGATGAGACGCGGTGACTCTCGTTTTATCTCTGGAGGCAGAATTGAAGCCCCTCGGAGCCCTCTGGAAGGCAATCTTTAGAGGAGCCCTCTGTTCCAGGCCCTTCAGGCCTGGCCAGGCAGCCTGTCGTGGGCTTGAGAGACTCCCTGGTTGAGCAAACACCATTAACCAGCCTTTTCTTATTTCTCCCAAGGAATCGATGGGGTGATGCAAACTTTATAGTGCAAGTGAGGAAGCAGCACACGAAGCTGATGTGCTCTGCTGTGCCTGGGCTCACTGGGAGGCACTGGTAAGACCCAGGGGAGACCCTGGTGGGGGATGAGAAACCCAGGAACCACATCCCTCTGTCTGAATTAAAATTTGGCATAACATTGCTGTTATGGCCAGGATCTTCCACCCTTACCAAGCCAAGTGTGCATCTGTTATAAGTCTTTATCAGTAATATCCATATGTACATACCAATGCATCTGTGTGTCACATCTTTATATTTACACAGTAAAGGTAAAAGGGTTCAGGACTTGTGTTTTCTTTGAAGAAATGATCCAGAGCCCAGCAGGTTAGTCACTGCTGGCTGACAATGGCTTTTAAATTGACCTTGTCAGCTGCAGCTCGTGACTTTCCAGCAGAGGGAAACGCAGCCCAAGTGATGAAGGTTGTGGGGATGGCAGGCAGCCCTGGCAAACACAAACTATCTCTGTTCTCTTTTAACTTCACTTTCTTCCCCTGCCAAACTCTGATGCATGCTGAGTGATTAAAAATATCAAATACAGTGTTACCCAGCAAGGAGTCGTCAGAGGCAAAAAAAGAAACCAAACCTACTGAAGCCAGTGCTGTAAAACTGAGCAGACTGGGGTGAAGAATGGGAGGCAGAAGCTTTTACATAGCCCAGTTGATGGTATCTTAAGAAAAAGGAGAGGATTGTCCTGAAGTGGTTTGGTTTGGGGGTGTTTCCCCTCACCTGCCTTATCCATGTTCCTCTGGCTTGGCTGGGAGTTGTCCAATTTACACACACACACACACAGAGCTGCCACCACACTGGGGACAAGGACCAGGGGAGACTTCTGAAAGAATCAGCCAGTGAAGTTGTTGATGTCATTGCACAGTAAATTGGGCTGCACTTTCAAAATTTGGGTTACATGCTTGGGCCAGGGCTTTACCAGTGTCTCTCTGCTCCACCTGGAGCTGCCAGCTCCTCTGTCTCTTGTCCCTTAAGTCCTGTCCTTGCTGGCTCTGACCCTTTGCAGCTCCATGGGGCTCCATGGAAAGTTTTTAGTGAGGGTGATCAGGGCATGAGAGGAGCAAGGGAAGCTGAGAGACATCCTGCTGCCACTGCAGCAACCACCCTGGCCATGTCCCTGCAAGCCTTGGTGTTTGTAAAGAAGAGCAGCAGGATCCAGCCCTGCTCCTGGGCCCTGAGATAGTGCATTGCTCCAGGGGCTGTGTCCATGTCCCTCTTGTGTGGGATCTGGTCACCACACTTGGGATTAGAGAGGTTTGGGAGCAGGGAGGGATGTTGGCCTGGCTCTCGAGTGCATGAAACACTGCATCAGCTGTGCCCCCCTGCAGATCCTGCCTCTTGACCAAACCTTTATTTTCTTTATTTTCACAAACAATCTCCTGTGACACCTGAGCACTGGGTTGCTCTGGTGTCTCCCACACTCAAGCAGAGGGTGAGCAGCAGGGGAGGAAGTTGGGCTCTGGGCAGGGGCTGCCCCAGATACCTGCTCAGCTCGGTGGGGTGGCCACAGCCCAGCTGCCAAGTGGGGCCATCAGCCCTTGGTACTCACCACCCTTTGATTGAATCACGGGAAGCTGGATGGTTTGGATGGGTTTGTGCAGCACCTTGGCCCAGCCAGGCCCTCAGCTCAGTCGGTGGAGCCTCTTTTCCCTTCTCACTGCTGTAATGCAGTTAGAAAACAAACCTGAGAGGTTTCCCTGGCTTCTGTGGATTTGCTTCTGGGTCTGATGCCAACTCAGGGAGCCTGGTGCAGGTGCCTCAGTGGCACTGCTGCAAATCCCAACCTGGCCTGAAAGAGCAGGGAATTCACCCAAACCTGGCGCCAAGGAGCAGGGACTGACAGTGAGTACACGCAGATCTGCTCTTGCTGTCACTTACAGTTAATTTATTTTTAGATTTAAAGATGTTTTTATTTCTCATGCACACAGAATTGGCACTGCTTTTTTGGGTCGTAGCTGACTCCATTGTCTTCTCAAGTTATGCCTCCCCTGCAGTGCTGAAATGAAAAATTCCAGTTACATATTGTACAGGGGTTGGGAGCTCGGAGGAACTGACTCATCTTGGTTATATTTATCTTTTTCAAAGGGGAAGATCCTGGTCAAGGGGTGGGGGTGGGGGGGAACAGCATCAGTTATCTCCCATCCACCGCAGCAAACGGGGTGTTTTTATCAGGGGGCTGCAGGGTGCTTGGCCAAGGGTCCCCAGGAAGGCACCAGGGTGTCCCCGCAGTGCAAAGCTCCTCGGGCTGCTCAGATCAGGGCAGCAGGGAAGGGAGGGGTTTGGGTTGTTTCTCAGAAAAATAGTTGTGGCTCCAGCGTGACAGAGGCCACAGCACGCTCTGCAGGACACCAGCCATGGCCCTGTGTGGCACCAGAGCCTGGGTGTGCAGTGAGATGGTTTGAACATGCAGTGCCATGTTTTGGGTGTGTAATGAGCTGGTTTGAACATGCAGTGCCACGGTTTGGGTGTGCAATGAGTTGGTTTGAACATGCAGTGCCATGGTTTGGGTGTGCAATACCATGTTTTGGGTGTGCAATGAGCTGGTTTGAACATGAAGTGCCATGGTTTGGGTGTGCAATACCACGTTTTGGGTGTGCAATGAGCTGGTTTGAACATGCAGTGCCATGGTTTGGGTGTGCAATACCATGTTTTGGGTGTGCAATGAGATGGTTTGAACGTACAGTGCCATGGTTTGGGTGTGCAACACCACGTTTTGGGTGTGCAATGAGCTGGTTTAAACGTGCAGTGCCATGGTTTGGGTGTGCAACACCACGTTTTGGGTGTGCAGTGGTATGGCTTGGGGGTGCAATGCTGAGGTTTGGGTGTGCAATGACCTCGGGCTGCACGTGCAGTGCTGTGGTTTGGGTGAGCAGTGCCACAGCTCGTGTTCAGTGCCACCACCCAGACCTGCAATGCCACAACTGGCCATGGGTCAGAACCCACAGCCCGGTGGGTCCTGGTGCTGGGAGTGGGTTCTGTGGGAGCGGGTGGAAGGTGTGATGCTCTGCTGGGACTGAGGACAGCCCTTCTCCCCAGGGCCAGCCCTTCTCACAACGTTGGCTCTTCTCCGCAAGGTTGGCTCTTCTCCCCAAGCCCTTCTCTCCAAGCCCTTCTCTCCAAGCTCTTCTCTCCAAGCCCTTCTCCCCAAGCCCTTCTCTCCAAGCCCTTCTCTCCAAGCCCTTCTCTCCAAGCCCTTCTCTCCAAGCCCTTCTCTCCAAGCCCTTCTCTCCAAGCCCTTCTCTCCAAGCCCTTCTCTCCAAGCCCTTCTCTCCAAGCCCTTCTCTCCAAGCCCTTCTCTCCAAGCCCTTCTCTCCAAGCCCTTCTCTCCAAGCCCTTCTCTCCAAGCTCTTTTCCCCAAGCCCTTCTCCCCAAGCCCTTCCCCCCAAGCCCTTCTCCCCAAGCTCTTCTCCCCAAGCTCTTCTCCCCATCCCTTCTCCCCAAGCTCTTCTCCCCAAGCCCTTCTCCCCAAGCCCTTCCCCCCAAGCCCTTCTCCCCAAGCTCTTCTCCCCAAGCCCTTCACCCCAGCTCTTCTCCCCAAGCCCTTCTCCCCAAACTCTTCTCCCCAAGCCCTTCTCCCCAAGCCCTTCTCCCCAAGCCCTTCTCCCCAAGCTCTTCTCCCCAAGCTCTTCTCCCCATCCCTTCTCCCCAAGCTCTTCTCCCCATCCCTTCTCCCCAAGCTCTTCTCCCCAAGCTCTTCTCCCCATCCCTTCTCCCCAAGCTCTTTGAGCAGGAGAAATCGTGTACAGGCAGGGCTGGAGGCAAGGCAGGGCTGCTCTCATCCCGGGCTCAGCCCTTGGGATGGATATGCTCAGCCAGGCAGCTGCTCAGGGACCCTTCCCCACCTCTGGTTTCGGGGGGTGAGCGTGGGTGGCAGGGACAGGGTCAGCTCACTGTGCTCCCACCCCCCACCTTGCTGCAGTGCCATCCCGGTGCCCTGCCAGCTGTTGGGAATCTCAGACCCGTGGCCAAATCTCCTTTGTCACTGAGGTGAAAATTAGGGGCAGGAAAAGAGGCAGCAGCATCCAGGGTGGCTTTGGGACTGGCAGGGGACTGGGAGTGACCACACTGGAGTCCTTTGTGAGTTGAGGCACAGGTCTGGGTAAAGAAGAGGAAAACCAAACCTAAAACTTGCATAGGACCAAATCAAACTTGCACTAATCCAGTGAGATGGGTGACATACTAGTCTACTGGAGGTTAAGATTAATTAGAGTATATTCACTTATTGGAACACATCCAATACACTGCTTTATGGCATGTAGTCAGTAGCCATGAAGAGATCTGGAGAGAGGAGGGGTGCTAATATTGCTGGGTTTTAGGTAGAAGAGAAGCTGGTTTGCTTTCAGTCCGGTTCCTTTCAATCACAGACTTACTGCTTGTGTCCTGTTGGGTTGCAATTATAATCTTTCAGATCAGACACATAATCATTGGGCTGGAGAGCAAAAAGTACCTGGGTAATGTGCTTAACAGAAATTAACCTGGTTATGTTCGTACTCTATTGAAAATGAGAAAGTGCTGATGGTCAAAATCAATTCCTCCCCAGCCAAATTACTGCAGGGCAGGCTTAGGGTTTCAGCTAAATGCTCAGCCCTCAAACAATGAGCCTGGTTGGATTGAATTAAGCCCCTGATCATATAGTTCAAATGATGGTGAGGGTTTGCCT